TTGAAACGACAATGGACAAAAATCATTACTTAAATATATTAAAAGAAAATTTAGAAGCCAGTGCAGAAAAATTGGGCATTAAAGATGATTTTCGATTCGTTCAAGATAACGACCCAAAACATAAATCGAAAATTGTATGTGAATGGTTACATAATAATGTAAAACAAGTGCTTCCACATCCTCCCCAGAGTCCAGATCTGAACCCTATAGAGCATTTATGGGGAATTTTGGAAAAAAAATTAGGCAACATACAATTACTAACAAACAAATGCTAAAAAATACAATTCTTGAGGAGTGGCGCAATATTGACAGCGAAACGACAAATAAATTAGCACTGTCAATGAAAAATCGTTTGACAGATGTCATTAAAGCTAAAGGATACCATACAAGCTATTAAAACTATTAAATTTCTAATTTAAGCTATACTTAAGTTTCAATCACTATATTGTACGGAGAATTTTTTGAGCTTAGTTTCTGTAGTACTCTTTTGTTTTTTTTATTTAATAAAATTTAAATTGTCTTTACCTCTATTGTGTTTTTATTTATTTTATATACCTAATGTAGTTTTTAAAAATACTAAACTTTTTATTGTACGATACATATTTTTTAAACTACAATAAATAATATTGTCAAAAGCTTAGTGTACGGGCAATTGTTTGAGTCAGTGTACATGCATATGTATATTCACAACGAAAGAGTTAGTACTACGTTCTGAAGGGCTATCTTAATAAACCTTCATTAGAAGTTTAATAAAAAAAACCATAACAAATACAAAATTCATAATACAGTGTTCAGTTAATATAACCTTCGAGTTCATCAAACTTTAGATACGATGACAATTTTTGCAACTATTTTCGCTTTTTTCGAAATTCCGATGATTTTAGTTTCTTAATAAAAATCTTTTGTTTTTTAAGTTGTTTATATATTTTTTTAATTCTTCAATAAATATTTATGTATGTCTGTATGTACGTTTATTCGTATATATGTTTTTGTTGTTGTTTATTTAAATGTTTATCACCAAAAGTTTTTATTAGTTTGAAAAAAGAATTAAACAAAAAAAAAAATTAATTAAAAAGTATAGCAACATTTAAGTATTGTTGTTTGTGACCATATATGGTAAAAAAATTTTCGACAATACTTTTTGGAAAATAAAAAATATATTTATTTTGCAGTAGTGACAAATAATATACGCCTTTTTAACGGCATTAATGTGACTATAATTGAACAAACTGTTAGTTTGATTGTACTCTACTTTAAAGGCGGTGCTATATAAAGTTCTTTGGTATGATTGTAACATAAAAAAAAATTATAAAATGGTAGAATAGGAAAATGCAAAACATAAAATTAAAGAAATTTTGTATTAAATTTTTTTTTTTAAATAAAATAATACAATTCTGATATAAAATAACTCAAATCATAGACAAAAAGCTTAAATGGTTTACTTATGTACATCCGCCTATGTCCTTTCAGACTATTCTAAAACAACAATCTTAACTACTTGTTGCACAAAATCTGGTCATCATTATGATAAAATAAGACTAGGAGTCAAGTGTTCAAGTGTATAGGTCTATAATATTCGACTTAACTTTATTTAAGTTCAAATAATACATTCCATTCATTTGGATTTCATATTGAGACATCCAAACATAAAATAATAAAAACAAATTTCGAATAAACGTTAATTAAAAATCGTAACAAACAAAAACAAGATTTTATTACTTTTTTTGTTTATAAAACAACAATTTTAAACATCATAATATGTATTTATGTGTATGTAGCATGTATGTGTGTTTATTTGAACTTATCAAATTGTTTACATCGTTCAGTTAACTTTTTTTTTTAACCAAAATTGGAAAAATTACAAACAGTTGATAAAAAAACACACACAGACATTAATAATAAAGAAATAAAACACCATAATTATAGATTTTTTAGACTTTTATAGACACTTTGAAATTAGAGCCATTTTATTGAAGGAGAATGATCAAGGTTAAAATTTTATTAGAAATTTGTTATTTAGTTATAAATGCAAAATGAAAATATTGAACTTATCTATTTCCTAACTATATTTTACTCTAATATAGAAATATTTTTGTTTTTTAAATTAACCCCCTTATTCACAAACAACATTTTTATTTTATAAAAGGTTGTAAACCTTTCCATACAAAATCTAATTTATAAACTGTTTATAAAATAAAAATGTTGTTTGTGAATAAGGGGGTAAATCTTTATTAATAACCGAGCTCATTGATACAAATATGTAATTTACAAAATAAATTAAAAATTTTTTATTATTTTTACTATTTGTAATATCATTTTGTAATGATCGGCTCTCAATTGTCTTAAACGTCCATAATTGACCCGTAACCGTTATGAAGTTCAGCATAATTAACTTCTATATAAAAATAAATTTCTCCTACAAATGATGACCGGCCCATATATGACCCTAACTCCCATATAAAGGCCCTTTAAAAAAGTTAGTTTTTCATCAATAAATTGCTTAAATACATAGGTAAAATTAAACATAAATTTTTATAAAAAAAACAAATAATTTTGTAATATACTACTCATAACTGGTATAGGGTATCAATTGGTTGGATATGACCGACTATATATTGTTATTTGTTTATTTATACATCAATTTGAATTTAACGGTACCATTTTATTTTCAGAATTACTGTGATTTGTTCATGTCATGAACACCACCAGACTATTGTGAATTAATGATTATGAACAGCTGTTGTGAACTGTCAAAAAATTCAATTCAATTCAGAGACTTGCGACGATTCGGCTTAAGCCGACTAAGCCTAGCCGTCGAACAAAATGTCAAAGCCGCCGCCGCCGACAATTTTTCAGCTTAATATTTGAAAATTTCGAAAATCATGTCGCTTACGTCTAGTGCTGTAATATTCTACTACTTTTGATTACTCAATACTACTCAATACTTTTCGTTTGGGTACTCAATACTACTCGATACTTTTAACGGTTTTATTTTAAATTAAAAACGAGGAATTTTTCCTTTTTTTAAGTAAAGTTAGACCAGACATCACACCTCTTTTGAGACATTTTATTTTTTTAGATAGCGTCGATAAATATTTGTAACTTTTTAACTATTATTGCAGTGTTTAAATTATTTTTACATTGATTTGATATTGCTAAGAGTTGCATTTCTAATAATGATATGGTCTATATTAGATTTTAGAGCTGTATTTTTTCACATCATAGCCGTTAAATTTAAATAAGTTAAATCCATATACAAGTCTGAAAGTATTGAGTAACTACTTTTTAGTATTGAGTACCCAAAAAATAGGGCAAATACTCGATACTCGATACCCACTACTCAATACTTTAACAGCACTACTTACGTCCATTTTGCAAAAAGGGGTCGATATCAATCGAAATCTCTATAGGCCATAATTGACCCTGCCCCCTTCAGAAATTGATTTGAATATTTTTGTTGGAACGAAAATATGTCTACCAAAATTTATGGCGATCGAAGCGTAATTCACCCTAAACCCATATGAAATCTTCTTCAGAAAATGACTTAAACGCACATAAATGGCTTTCAAATGTCGATGTAATAATGGAATTCGATGAAAAAAACTTTTTTAGGAACCGAAACCTATATTTATGAAAAATAAAATTATGAGGATCGGACCGCCAATATAACTCTTTTACAGAAAATCAATTTATAGCTAATACATCATTCCAAAAGTTATCATTATGATAGAATTATGGTAGAATTAAAAAAATATATTAAATTGTGGAGAACTTGGTCCATAATTGACCCAATCCCACATTTAAGTCCCTATTCCGAAAATCACGCTGACGTTCTTATTAATCTAATTATCAAAGTCCATATATATATATGGATATGACCACTTCCGAAATTTGCTTTTTTACGACATATGATTTGCCAAATATAACTCTTACTTCTTAATTATTTTAATCATAAAGAAATTACCGCTAAAATAGGAATAGTCTGCCTTTAGAGTTGCGAGTTTTCATACACTCTAATAATGTTTTTAAAGCGAAACTTTTGGAATATACTTCAATCTCTTTGTGATCCCTTGATGTTGTTCTGGTTCTGATTATCCCTAACTGGACCTATTTCATTCGTTTATCTTGGAAACTATTACAGTTAGAATTTTAAAATTTTGCACGAAGAACTTTAACATTTATGTAATAAATTGGCGGACTACCAATGAGGGGAGCGGAACCTCCCATATGAATTAAATACAAAAATTCGTTTATCTGTGAAACTAATAGAACTAAATTCTTAAAATTTTGCGCGAAGAACTTTAATATTAATCTGAACATTTTGGTGAAAAAAAGGGCGGACTTTCATCTGGGGGGCTTGGATCTCCCATATGAATTAAATAGAAAAATTCGTATATCTGAGAAACTATTAGAGCTAGAATCTTAAAATTTTACTGAAGAACTTTGACATTCTTGTGAACATTTAGAGAATAACGGGCGGACTTTCAATGGGGGCTTGGCACTTCCCATATGAATTAAATACAAAATTTCGTATATCTGGGAAACTATTAGATTATGCAAATTTTTCATAGATTAAATTAAAATCTTAATTAACGTTAAGAAAAATTGGCGAAATTGCAATAATTTGCGTGGAATCTTCCATAGGGTCAAATATAGGCCGATCCTCGTAAAACTTGGAGAAAGGATTTGTTTTTAATTTTTAAGAATTTTTTATCCATTCCTGCATAATTTCTCACACAACTTTGTGCTTGCTCTGTTTTGTTGTTATAAACAATATATTTGCTTCCAAAATCCCACTTTCTGATCTCTCGGATTCCGTTTTTATTTAAAATCGTTGAAAATTTAAAAACTAAACTTAGTTGAAAACTTAGCCGGCTTACAGTCGATTTTAAGCTGCCGCCGACATATTTAGTGTCAGTCGCCGCTGCCGTTAATATTTGTCGGCGCAGGGCTCTGGCGTGAGAAAAGTGAGTTTTCTTTCAACTTTCGGTATAAAATAGATTTTAAGAATTTTAACATAAAAATATAAAAATGGCTTTAAGTAACTTATTATTTAAAGCCCAACTGCAGCAAAGTGTACGCTCCACAACTCCATTAATTTTGGCCAGTCGTCAGGGCCATACAATTAGAGGCAAACCACCCGGTGTGGCCAAAACGATTGAACAACGTTTGCAGGGTAAGTGAACTGCCGAATGGTGTTGTAATCAATTTGTATATATTAAGTATAAAGTTTTCTTCATTTTTAGAGGAGAATGTTAAAGATCCAGAGTTGACCGCTAGAGTCAATATTGGTTTTCCAAAATTGAAGTCCACACGTTCGGAACAGTTAAAGGAACGCTTAAGTTATGTTAAAGCACAACGTGCTAATGGTGAACTAGAGAAAAAGGCCAGGAGTAATGAATGTAAGTACAAGTTCTATAAGTTTTTTCATCAAAAGCATTTGATAATTGGTTTTCATTAAATTTGGATACCTATTCCTTCAATCAATATATCAAACAGATAAAAACTTCTTTATATGATAATTTCTATTGCATATACCTTCATATTTGAGATTTCTGCATTTCAATCCGAATCAAAATTTTCTCCGTTTGGCAACTTTTGTATTCTGCATTTCGATTCGAAGCTCCGTCACTAAAATAACAACTTACAAATACATAGTTACGATCGTAATGCAGAATACACACACAATCATAAAGCATTGAAATAAAATGGAATTGCTTCTTCCTTTTCTTACGATTCCGTTTTTTGTTGGAATACCACTTTTTGATCGTAGGGTAACTGAATGTGGAAACGTAATCGAAATGCAGAATAGGGGTGAATGTGGAGTAAAATTGACTCTAACCCTAATAAAGTATTTTTTAAGTTATAGATATTTTTTTCCTATTATAAATGTAAATCAAAACTTCCTGTATTGAGTTTCTACATTAAAATTTAAGCTACATCAACTAGATGAACACAGCAGGGTATACATTGGGTATACAAAATATATTAAGTTTGTTGCTTCACATTAAGCTCAGGTTTGTCAGAACTACTTGTGCAAAAACAAACTAAGATTGGTACAATACATCGTATTAACGAATCGGGGAAATTTCCCCACTGTATGTAACTATACTGCCGTTCTTGTTTGTAGTCACACAACAAGGTTTATTAATCTTCGTTGTTATGATAAGAAGCTCGTAAAAATAATTTCCATTCATTTGTACATGTTTAGTTTAAAAAATAGAAAAACGATATAGAAGACTTTAAACCATTATTTTAAAGTCGCGCTGCTATAAATAGTGAAATACTTTTATATTCTAATTTTATTAAAAATCCTAAGTGTGTTTTATTTAAAAGTTCTTTGTTAAGAATCAAAGAGAAATAAAAAAAAAAAATCATCCTCATATCATTAACCAAAAATAATTAAATATGTAAAGCGAATTATGTACTTAATAAAACCACACAATTTTAGTACTTATCGACTTGAGTGAAGTGCAAAAGGATTATGCAAATACAACACGAGGTTATGATTTGCGCGTATTAGCTGACCATTACGGCATATTTGAGGATCTTTTTGGTGCCGCATACTTTGTACCACGCGTTAACCTTAATATCCAGGTATGAGAAAAAACCGAAACACCAATATTGAAGAAGTTAAATACAAATAAATAAATTTTAGTATCAAGCAACTGAGGATACATTGATTCCAGTCTATAATGGCAATATAATTAAGCCCTTGGAAGCTAGACAAGCTCCTTTGGTAACATTCGATGGTTCAACGGACCCTATAACAGGCAAACCTACCAATGGAGATTCTTATTGGACATTAATTGCTACAAATCCAGATGGTCATTTTACTGAAAATGATAAGGAATATGTACATTGGTTTGTGTAAGTGGAATAAAATCGTTAGCCGAAGATGTAAATTGTTAATTAATTTTATACCATATAGAGGTAACATACCTAATGGTGATGTACAAAAAGGTGACGTTATAGTCAATTATTTGGCTCCTTTTCCCCCCAAAGGTGTTGGCTATCAACGTTTTGTTTTTGTGTTGTACAAACAGAATAAGAAAATGGACTTTAGTTCATTAAAATTGTCAGCCGAGGACAATGTTAACTTAGATAAACGCACCTTCAAAACATACGATTTCTATCGCCAGCATCAGGATGATATAACACCTGCTGGTTTGGCCTTCTATCAAACTAATTACGATAAATCCTTAACTAAATTCTATCACGATGTTTTGAGTAAGTAGTCATTACAAAAAGATGTTTATAAATTATATGCTTGATAAATTTTACCTCGTATTAGATTTAAAGGAACCCATATTCGAGTACGATTTCCCAGAACCCTATTTGGCCGATCAGAAATTCTTCCCATTGAAGCAGGCCTTCAACTTGTACATGGATCGTCACCGCGATATGAAGCAAGTGAATAAGGAATATTTGGAACGTAAATTGGCAAAAACGCATCCATTTGATGGTCCAGATAGACCATTGAAATATCCAAATGCTCATCCCATTAAGGATACTCCATCTTGGTTAAAAACGGAAATTAGGAAAGAACGTTTAAAAATTGGTCGCATTATTGATTATTAAAAATTGAGTGGAGAGTTGTTAAATTTTGTTAAATCATCCTAGAATAAAGTAACAATATATAAAATCATGGAAAAGTTGTGTATTTAAAACGTACTTAAAAAGTCTTATATTCCATTGTATTTCGTGTTTCTTTCCTTAATAAACTTTTCGGTATCATAAGGTCTATACATATTTTATTAAAATGTTTAATTTGTGGCTCTTGACATTTCCACTGAATCCATCTACTGATTTGTTCAATAATAAAATATTGTTCTGTTATATTTGAATTCGTTTTTTATTTAAATTTTTTTCTTTTTACCCAAAAAGTATATCGTTCATTTGCCACAAAAGAGACTAAACGGAAACATTTTATTTGAACAGCGTCCAGACCTCAGTTCAGAATTTCTGCTTCCAGTCAAGCGATTTTAATAAAAATTAAATGATTGAAATTTATTTTTACACTCTCTTATTTATGTCCCTTCTGTCGCTAATAACGATGTGATTTTTCTGATGTTTTAACATTTTATAATTGGTATTAAATATTTGGCACAAACTTTTTCGTTAAAAATATTTAAAATTATGTTTAAAACAATAAAAAAGTACATAGTGTTTTATAAATTAAAATTGGTTTAACAATAAATTAAAATTTTTACAATAAAAGTGTTTAACATAATGTAAAAACAATAAATGTATTAACAGGTTTAAGATATTTTAAATATGCATTTACCTGCAACAACAATACTTCAACCATAAATTTAAATCTAAATGTGTTTGAATAAGTTCAAAACTAAAGTACATGTGCTTTAAAATGTTGGATTTAAGCGTAAATTCATCTTAAGTTCAATCTAAATTCTAAAACATTTTCATTTAACAATTTGTATGTATGTAGTTAAAAGGAGATTCCGCATTGCTACCTTTAAGTCTCTGCCTTGCCATAAGCTCCAACCGGTGGCCTATACATGGCTGGCAAACTTAAAACTTGAGGCAAATTGAAAGCATATTTACGTTTATCAATATTCTTGTAGACATTATCCATACGACAGCCCTCGCTTCTCATGGTATTTAAAACGTATGGAACACTTTTTGCTGGCAATTGAAATTCTTGCACCAGTACCCGACACTGTTCCAATGTTACAGACATTCCAGTTCGATCTTTGGCACTTTTGCACGAAGTGAACCGTAGACCAGACATTAGGCGACACGCATCTTCTGCTAAGTGTAAGATTTTTACATTTTTCGATACATTGGCCTTCAGTTGTTCTTCCATAAAATTCAAAATATTCAACAGAAGTTCAGAGGCCGGTTTATGTGGTTCATTTTTACTGGGCGTCTCTGGTGCTTGTAGAGGCAATTTACGGAATCGAGAATAATACTGCTTGAGTCGTACATAATTGTCCCAATTGGAACGATGCTGCTCTCGGGTGCGTCCCACAGCCTCGGCAAGTGTGGCCTTTTCGTTGATGCCAATATTAAAGAAAACTGGTGTAACCTTAAAGTTGACCGTTTGTTTGGTGGGTAAAAGAGCGTAGACATATTCGGGTATAGGAAGATGAATACACAAAGATTGCCTAGAACCATTTATACGAGGTATAGGTACCGATTGTTGATCGTTGTTTGGCATATTGCAACGCACTAATATGAATTCCACAGCCAGTAAATCTTCTATTGCAATACACATATCACCCCACATGTCTATTTCACTGCCATAGAGTGATAGTAAACCTTCGAAATAGGCCAGAGGACCCAGATCACACAGTATTTTTATAAAGTTGTGCGTTATTTCATTGCCCCACAATTTAGCCATCAATGCACTTACAAGTGCTGTTAATGCTTGTGAAAAACAAACATCTCTTCTGTACATGATTTCTAAATTCATGCTAATTCTATCCATATTCTGTTGTAAACGTTGTACTGAATGCATAAGACGTGCCGTTTTTAACAGACCATCCATGGCATGACGCAATTTACGCATCGACGGCCGTAATTCTGACGCCCAATCGGTAGTAAGAGAAAGATCGAGGCCTGAAAATTCAAAATGTTAATAAATGTGATTGAAATACAATTTTTTGTAGAGGGCTCACCATCGGTAAATTTATTTCCTTTCTTTGTGGATGATATCGGATTATCATTTGCCGGCATGGATTGTGTTAAATCCAAATTTAAACCATTACTATTTCCATTTGGAGAATGGCCACCTTCGGCATACTCTTTATTGTCAACACAAGAAGTTGCCTGAGAATTGCCGTTATCTACAACATCTGGTACTGGATTGTTGCTAAATCCTGACCTTTTCATGGCCACTTTAGGATGTCTTAAGCGTATTGCTGGGCTACCGCAGCGCCCGCATAAAAATTTAATTTTACTTACTAAACACATGACACTAGCTTCGATATTTAGTTGGGTTAAATCCAAAGGTTCTGGCTCTTCAGTGGGTCTATAATAATTGGCCGACGGAGATGTACTCATCATTTTTGTGTCCAAAAATCGTGCATTACGAGATGAGGCAAAAACTGTGCAACTCGTTAATTCATAACCATAATCCGTTCGTGCATTAGCCATTATATGTGGTGTTTTTATTGGTTTGGAGCAATTCAATGTTCCTTCTTTCGCTTGACTAGGAGGTGACTCATCCAAATCAATGAGTTTGATGGGCGAAGTGGTCAATTGATCCTCGTCTTCTTCAACAAAATTATTTTCGTTGTATTCAATATTTGAGTTAAGATTCACTGGAAGTGATTGGAATGTGGCTTCTTCGTTTTCATCTTGAGTATTTTGAGATTGTATTTTGCATTGAGATGATTTTTGTTTAGCATTTCTTTGTAATTGTTCATTGTATGCACGTACTGTGTGCTGAAGGTTGTGTATGGCATCAATGTCCAAAGTTAGCGAAGGTGAATGTTTCAATTGGGTCAAACTATTGGAGCGAACGAGTTTATAGTTCAAATTTGTTGTTGGTGTTTTAGCTCTAGGCCATAAATCGGGTGGTGCTATGACAGGAGTAGAGAAATCTTCTAATTCGGGCGACTTTAATTCCAAATCATTCAACTGTTGAGTAATTTTCCGAAAAGGTGACATGGGCTAAAGAATGGAAATTAGTATTTAAATTAGTATTTAATTGAATTGTATTTACTAGTTACCATTAAAACGTTATCTGGTTCTTCGATAATACGATGTTGTTCTATGAATGAGAAGGCTTCTTCCACTAAATTTGGCTCCCAAATATTTAATAATGTTTTGGTTTTTGTAACCATTTCATTGCACAAAGGCATCATGCCTTTTTGATTTTTCTGCTTTGCCAATGCCAGCAACTGAGACATTATCTCGACAATCTCTTTGCGTAATTGTTTAATTGCCTGTACAGCATCATTTGCGGCTTGTACTTTACAATTATTGCTCACTTCAAATTTCGATGGTGATTCTTTGGTTTCTTGTAAAAGTCTAGTAATTTAAATATAAATTTCATTAGTTAAAGAAAACAATTATTATCTTATTTAAAACTATACTTAATTAAACCTCCTGTTTTGCCCATTTTACCAGCATGTCTGGTAAAGGCTCCCACTGTTATGATATCCAAAACACCAGTACGATTTAATGAGTCATTTTGTGACCACATGCGTTGCAAATGTAAATTTACTGGTATAAATTCTAAAGATTCATCTGTTTTTACCGAAGACTTTTTAAAGAAAGTGCCTAAAAGCATATACATATTTATAAAAGGTGTAAACAAATTGAACAATTCATATGTATTTATTTTATCACCTTCTTCTTTTATAATTTGTTGTAAATTTTGTTTAGCTTGTGAATAGTCATTTAGTAGCTTTAAATGTTTGTCCAACAAATCCATTTGTTTACGTCTCCACTCACCGCCAAGTTCGCCCATTCCGGAAATTTCCTGCAGCAATTCTTTTTCACGTAAAATCCAAATTGATCTATAATTTTAATTATTATTTTTTTTTTTTAATTTAAATACAATTTTCTTTTTAAATATTTCTACTTACAATAGTTGGTGTGGTATACTGAAGCATAATTTTGATTCCATTAAGGTTTCGTGAACACTAATATCAGCACCTAGACTGGAATTAAGCCTATAAGTGTGTATCTGTTAAGTAGAAAAATTATTAAATGAAAATCTTATTTCAATTTCAAGTATTTATATGCTTTAATAATGATAAACAATTTAAGGTGAATTTGAATTGCATTTTCTATGTAAAAAATTTCTAATATCATGCTAACCTTTGGATTTGCAAATATCCTTTGTATACTGCCCTGAAAGGGAACAAATAATTTCACTCCTAATTTTGGTGGCAAGGATTGTGTACGCCTATGACCTTTAGTTTGTTGTTCAAAAACCTGTGTAGTAGATCGTGGCGGAGGTTGCAATTGTTTATCAGTATCTGGAGCCCATGAAGCAATATTTATGAAACCACATTCACCATGCACAGATCTTAAAGGTATGCGAAATCGTGTGGCATCCTAAGGTATTTTAAAATTTATAATGATTTACAATATGTCTCCGTTTAGAAATTTACCTGTATTGCACCTAAAACCACTTCAGCATAACCGATGGGTACCGAAGTTGAGGAAACTTTTTCTCTAACATCGTAAACTGTGAATCTTAGGGGAGTATCGGCATTAAAACCATCACTATTTTTAAAGCTCATAGTACACAAAAATTGAGGATTTTTACAATTTTCTATAATTTCTGTACGAGCATAATCTCGCCAAATTATATCATCTCCTGAAATGAGTACAGCACATACAACTCTTGGACAGGGCAGACGACCATTATCAGCACATGGTAAATTATCACATGATAATGCAGATTCACAAATCGGTATTTCTGATAAATCTGTAAATTTGAATAGAAAGTAGAAAAAAAAAATACTTATTAGATTTAAACTATTGTAGTTGAAAAATCTTTTGAAGATTACCTTTAAAAACTTAACAATTAAAAACTCTGTTTTCTTTAGTAACATTAGAATTCAAATATTTTTATTTCAATTCTTATTAAAATAAGTAATTTTATAAAAATAAAGCTAAATTTAAATAACGCTACAAATATTCAGACTGATTATTTTAGTTGACAAATTCATTGACCAAAACCATTAAAAACATATAAACTAAATATGTATATGAATAGAATTAATATTTTTTGTTAATTTGAATTTGTTTCGAATGTATGTAAATTATATAGAATTATAAAATGTATGTGAATATTACAACCAAACCAATTTCCCTGCATCTCAATCAATAACTTAAACTAGTTTGTACAAATAAAAGG